TGCAAGAGAGTGGTGACGTCATGCGGGTTTATTAAAATACTCATGCGATTTCAGATGTCGCAGAAGAGGTGGGTGTACTTCATGTTTTGAATGTCAGATTAAGTCAGTAACTGTAATCTGACTACAGGAATTTCAGATCATTCATAATCATTCATTGCATACAACATAGAAATGAAATCTCCATCCCAGAGGTCTTACCAGGTCAAGTAATCGTTTTCTCAAAATAAATTAATAATGAAACATAAAAACTACACCAGGTTAATTTGTCCATCTGTCCAACTACTAACAAGGCTACACAAATGAATCGCCAAAATGTTAATATTGACGATGAGGCAGAGAGATAGAGAGAGCACATAAGAAACCAGTATAAGACGATGAGGAAAAAAGAGGAAAAGCATTGCTACATGCAAATAATACAATGCAAGAACCATTTAGAGGAGATAGAAAATATATTACGCTTAATATCCAAACAAAATAAATGTGTGACATTATTTTCAGCATTAAAATGCACTTTCATTAAAATGGGATGGGAAGTTTTACTTGTTAAATATAGATTTGAGATAATCCATTTGCCTTTTGATTTAGACTTTCTTTGATTTATATAGACTTTGATATATTTTGAAGCCCATAACACACACACACAAAAACACAGAGGTTTAAATAAAGACATCAAGCACAAATCTTTTTGAAAGGATTTTCAATTTTCTTTCAGAAATATACAGAGCCAAAGCATCATAAGATCACAGACCATTACAGGTAAAGTACATCTTTTTAATGCTTTTACTGATAGAGAGAGTCACTGCAAGAAAATAGTGGTTAACCTTCTTTTATAACTCCAGTACATTACAGTATAATAACTTCAGAACTGCTGGATTGATTTTCTCGACCTCTGAGTACACACCATCTTTGTTACGGCAGTAGCATGTCACTTAAAGACTAACTAGATATTGTCTTGTGGAAATACAATTTGAAATAAAAAAAATCGGATGTAGAAAGTGCTTAAGACACAAACCATTCAGAGAGAGCTGCCCATCACCGAACATAATCCGCTCTCTAACGTACTGTACATTTTACAAATCATCGTTGCAATGCCTCCGCAGTGCTTACACAATAATATGCCTATGCAGCCTATACTGTGACCATCCTCAAACAAACTGCTCTGGGATCGTCATAATAGAGAGGCCTATATAAAACAGTATTGTCGAGAGAGGGGAATTCATAACATCCCATCAGCCAGTAGCCCGCCTGGCTGTGCTGAAATGTCAGGGGAGAAATGTAAAACCCATAAATGTGGTCTTCTGTCTGAAACTGGCAATGACCCTGTCCTATCATTCAGAGCGATATTTGTTCATCTGTTTGGTTTGGTTTGTAAGTGCATGACCATCCGGTGCCTGAATCAGGCAAGACTTGCGGTCCAGTGGGAGAAGGGATTGAAACTCACCAGGGCTGGGCGATAAGAAAAGTACACAGGCTACAAAAGAGTACCGAGAGCTACTCAAACAGAACAACAGCCATAATCCAATATTTGCTAGCAGGCGCCATGTTCATTTTAGCACGTGCTAGCAGATTCTTTACATGAATGGTGACCTGTTTTGGGAGATTTTGTGGCTCTTTTCCCATGTTTTAAGACTGAATCAACTAGTCCATATGGTATTTGTTAACACAAATACTAATGTCAAATAATGAATACCCATATGGCTCTATTAGCATTGTAAAGTGGAAGTTAATGCAGTGGCAAAAGGGATGGTACAGTAGCTGCCCATGATTCGAAGTATGTCTTGGATAAGGGGTGACTATTTTTCGTAATTGTTCAGCATTAATCCATTTAATTAAATGCATTAATATTAAGTTGCAGTGTGTAGTTGCATGCAGCGTCGCTAAACAGAATAGCAAAATGATGGTTTACTAACAGGTTTCCTCTCTCTCTCTCATCGGTTATTAGACAAATTAACTGGTAGCCACACCCAAAACTAATGCCATGGTTAGAGAAAGTAATTTTACATGGAAAAATTACACACTTCAGCTCCTTTTAAAGTCTGTATTTAAAACTGATAATAGTATGAATTGAGAATTAGTATGTGTTTGGAGTTTTTCATATTTGCAGGGTTCCCACAAATATATTGTATGCTGAACCTATTATTTATTGTTATGCTCCGCTTTAAAGTATTTCATTTCACTCACAAAGTGCAGTTTCTGGCCAATGTCAAAAAAATGATTTCTCCAAAACGGTCAAAAGGTGTAAAAACCCTGGATCTAAATTCAGTGCACGTTGCAAGTTTGATTGTTGTGTGTTGCAAGATTTCTATAGGTCTGTATTTTTTCATTTCACCTTGCGGGAAACATTTTGTGCCCAGTTATCAAAAGAGAAAGATAGGCCAAGTAAAGTAACATATAGATATTATGCTATGGGTATAGCACTGGCATCACCATCAACTGAGAGGAAATTTCTAAATGAAAGATTGATCTTTTGTACAGTATCAATGGTGTGATTTGCTTTCTGCCCTTACGAATGAAATTGACTAAAGAACAATGCAAAATAACTGCAAATGTACACACAGAGAGCATGAAGGATTTATATACAGTGTAGGGAAGACTGAGCTATATTATCAGCACTGAAACAGGCCTTTTCCTGTTTAAGCCCCACAATGGGCACCAATCCATTTGTAAAATTAGACTCATCCAACAGCACTCATGTATGAAACCCATTGAAATGCCACAAACATAATCATACGTAAAAGTGCTTACAGCACCGACTGACTCAGCGGCGTCACGCCTTGCAGTGTTTCTTGAATTCGGGTTGAAGGGAGGAAGTGTCAGGTCGGTACAAATCAAAATGGTTCCTTTGGGTCAAAATCAGGATCTTTGCATTTCAAGAGTGAGAACCACAGTTCCTCCTCCTTGTTTATATGAGAGATCGCCTCTGGCCATATATATCTTTATGAGCGAGGGGGAATGGGAGATAACTTGACGAGGAGATAAAAGAGTGGAGTGTCAGAAGCTTTGATAAGCAAAACACACTGATGGCTTTCATGCCCAATCTGTTTGTGCAGTCATAGGGCATGGAAAGGTTATTCAACTAAATGTAGATTCAGAGTGCCATAACCCAGGAAAACTTTGGCAGGAAGAGAGGTGTTGGTATCAGCGGATGTAAGCACAGTTGGCGCACATACTGGGATGAGCCTCAACCTTGTTATAAGGGGTCAGTGGCAATTTCATACAATTATGCCACTTAATGTAACACCACATAGATAATGGCTGTGCTCTTGTCTAGTACTAGAAAAACATGCTGCCATAATTTTGATGTTTTTTTTGTTTTTTTTTTGTAGTCTGAATATTTCTCCCCAGCAATAACCAAAATGCTGAATGAATTAAGAAATAGAGCAGATAATGAAAGCAATTATAGCCATTTCTAATGAATTGTGGCAAAATACTTATGTGAAGTCCACTGGACCATTTGTACTTTCAAAACAGCCAGAAATACGTCTGTTTGGATCTTCTACTCTTGCCTGTGGTTTAGTCACTATACAGTAATTGGCCAAATGGCTCTAGGTTGCAGCTTGCCATACACCACAGCATCTCTCTGCACATGCTACGTAGCATGCGATCCTAGCCCAATAGCTCTTAGCTTTATTTCAGTACCTTGATTCGGGACTAAAGGTGATATTACCTTGCAAGTGTTTGAGTGAAGTGCTTGAGTTATCAGTAGTGCCATAGGTTGCAATTTCAGTTCTGTAGACTATAACATTGGGATAAAACAACAACAACAACAACACACATTTACATTAAGTATGAAAGCCCACACTCCATTAAAAAAACATGAACACAAATTGCTCACTTATAACAGTGAGAGTACTCAATGCTGTACAGTCCAATGGCAGCCACATGAAGAGCAGACAGAAGATTCAACCTGGAGCAAAATGTAAAGGACTTGGATCTCGATTTGTAAACTAAATTTGTGTTTTGCAAGAAACAAGCAATTTGAAAATATATCTAGCACATGTGTAACAAGCTCAGGCGATTTTTTTTTTATGAATCGAAAGGAAGATTTTTAAGCGTTATAATTCGACTTCACAAAACAGGACACAGGACATAGTGCATCTTTTAAAAAATCCAAACATCATTGTTCCCATCATCTGCACATTATTCACACCAAACCAGATCAACCCTTTTCGGAAAGAATAGTATTTAAAATGAAAAAAAAACAAAAACACTCAGGTTCAAATGGCCACACACCTTAAATAGTCCTACTGAATGCTCTGAAGTAGACGAGATCACATAATCCACTTAGTTCCCAGTGCAAGTCCAATGAATTTTGAAATCAAGTTGTTAAAACACTGAAATTAAAGAATGTTCAGAAAGAAAGAACAACTAAGTACACAAATATCTTATCTCTGAATGGTAAACCGACAGCTCATGGCCATTTTCGATCTGAGGTTCTCACATTTTTATGTCAGATAAACTTTTGTCAGAAGCGCCAGAATCCAAAGATACTGACTGACAATAGTTTTTAATTCAGTTCATATATTTTTTGTTGTTGTCCTTTTATATTTGTTCTTTTGTTTAGCTAGCTGTGGTGGAGGCATTGAGAAATCTTACATACAACTTTGACAGTTGTGCTTGAATGTACAGGAGCAACAAAGCATTGTCCTCTAATGGTGCCGAGGAGTGGTAAGGAGTGTAGACTTCATCAACTCATCTGAGCAATGTTGTTATGCATTCTCCGAGGAGGTCATTCATTCAGAGCTGTTTTAAAGTTACTGGAACTACAGCAAGGACACTGGTTTTGTTTCGTGTGTCTTTTTGTGTTGGCAAGTGACGTCACTGTGGCACACGGTTGTTTGGAGAAAGTTTTTGGCCCATACATTAAGGGCATTGGGAAGGGTAGTCCATGAGCTCATGACAAGGATCTGAAAACGGTAAGGCTTTTCAGAGCTGTAAATAAGATTTGGACAAATGAAGAATATCCATGTATATCAAAGAATGTCAAAAGCAAAACAAGTGAAGGATAAAATTAAACTGGCGTGCTAGATGTGCTTGAAATGCTTCCTGATTCTCGTCTTTTTTGGGGGGGGGTTGGGTCAATCCCCTTTGGCCAAACCCATCACTGGATTCCTCTGTCTTCTGTCCATCTCCTGCAGTCAGACATGGGTCTGCATGCGTTTCTGCAGGGGCCGCGTGAGGTCTGAGTTCTGGGACGATGATTGAGAGTAATGGGACGAGGAGGAGGCCGAGGCCTTGCTGTCCTTGTCGAACTGCACGTAGCCGTCCTGCTTGCTGTAACTGCTGACGCTGCTGTCGCACTGTGTGTCCAGGAAAGAGCTGGAGTCACTCATCGATCCTCGCTGGAATTCTCGCTCGCAAAGCTCAATGGAGCTGCTGCCCATGCCCAGCACAAACCGCTGGCTGTAGTCGTACAGGCGGTTGGGTCCAGCACCCAAGGTAGAGTAGATGTTGGTGAAAGACATTCCTGTGGGAACCCGCTGTTTGCCGGTGGTGGCTGTGGCAGGGTCTCGCCGGAGCTCTGTGGTCTGGTTTCCTGCCAGCGTGGTTGGGGTGCCATGATGCTCCTTAAATGTGTTCACACTGTAGTATCCATTAGTGGGATCCTTTGAGGAACAATGCATTAACAAACATGTCATTGGATGAAAGGAGTTAAACGAAATAACTCTAAAATCATGACAAGGCAACAGTAAAGTAATTGTTGTAAAGAGCTTTTGCACTGACAGCGAAGCCATTCATTTTCAAGAGTTGCCATTATCTGAACAATTGACACCGAGCTCAGCTTAATGCGGATCGAAGCAATACTGTCTTGCACAGCTGCATACAGTTAAGCGGGAATGACTACTAGAAACCAAATGCACTTAGAGTTGGTAACCTCCAGCAATTCAATCACTGTCAGTGTGAACGCCCCTTAAGTATGTCAAAAATGATCGTATACTCAAACATTTTGTACAATATCCGGAATTTTTGAAGACCAGTATATTTAGTTATACTTGTACCGTAGTCAAACTTTAGAAAAATCAAGAGTAGCGCTAGTTCTGCCAGGTCACGTCAGTCAAGCTCACAACAGCTGACACATCTACAGGAATACGACGCCTATCACAGAATTCTTATATAAAGGTCCAAGCAGCTTTATCGTGTTGCTCAGGAGCTAATTACCCTCCTCCATCCCCAGCTCCTTCTCTCGTCCAGTCAGAACAGAACTGCCAATCATCTTTAACGATAGAGGTCCTGACAGAAGTCTTAATACTATTATACCCTGTAAGTATACTGTAGCCCTATTCAGTTAACCGTGAGGAGGTTAGCTTAATTTGTGTTTCAAATATGAATTTTGGGTTACACTTTATTTTGATAATCCACTTTAGATGTACTAACTAAGCAACTTTGCAACTACATGTCAACATTGACATGTAGTTTGCAAATGAATGGGAGTTAGTTGACGTAGACTTGCAAAGTTACTTGTCAGTTGGGGAGCATCAAAATAAAGAGTTAGCAAAATAAAGATATTAAGCAGACAGTCTACTAATACTCTAATGACTGCTAGTTGACATGTATTTGCAAACTTATAGTTAGTAGAATGTCTAAAGTGGACCATCACAATTAAGAGTTACTGTATTTTGTGATTTTATCTCATCCGAATTGAACGCGTCTGTGTTTTTCTCATGCAACCTTGGCAAAAATTTTGTAGTACATTATCTATTATTTTTTGACTAACTCTTCTTTGACTAATTTAACCCTGCATGTCTTTGATTGCAGTGTAATGTTTGTTTCTAAATGCTTCTCCTTTATTTTGACCATCATCTAACACTGTAAACTAAAGCTACATTTCTTGAGAATTGCTTGTGTGATGCATCTATTCTCTTTCTTTCTGTAGTGCCCTCACTTCTGTTTCAGAGCATTAAAAAGGCAAGGAACATGCATACATCAAACAGAGGTAATACAAATATGTTTGGATCAGTCACCTGAGTAAAGCGACCATCTTTAGCAGTAACCTATAAATATCATTACAGGCTAATTAGACAAAACCTTGATACACAAACTGGTTGTTAGTCTGTACTTTTCAGCTTTAATTGGACTTCAGAATCAGGACTTTTAAATCTGTAATGGAAAGAAAAAAAACAAAGCGAATGAACTTGATACCATGGCTGCTGTCGTTGTCGTGGTGCTATATCAGCACAGTTGCTAAGAAGCAAAACAGACGCCGAAAGTGGACGTGGATGCCATTTTGAGCGGGTGCGCAGGCCAGATCCCGCGGGGGAGAGACGATAATCACCGGTAGGTGACTTCTCTATGACAACACGAGAAAGGCGTTGTCAGGCGCGGTTTTATCAGGCAACAGGGATTGTGTGCACTCCATATCTGTTCACACTGCTCATTTTACACACTCATCTACATGTAGGGAGGGAATCAATCCCGCTGGGAGCAGGTAGAGGGGGCAACGATACACTTTAGGAACACTGCGTTTGCACTCGGAAATAAGTACAAATGAGAGAACAAAATCTATGCTACCTTTGTCAGGAACTGCTGTCTGCTTAACGGTGGGATCATATGTTAATCGAACTGTAATTACAATAGTTATTCTTTGTGCTCACACTAAATTTAGCTAAATTAGTATCTTACTCAACATACTCGATGATCAGTGCAAATGCTTAAAGGGTAAGTATAATTGCGTATAAGACTTTAATTTGTTTTTTCCTTAAATATTGGTTTTGGCTGAACACAATTTTAAATATCAATCTTCTAAGCAATTTCCTGGCATAAATGATGAACACTCATTATAAAGCCCCAGCATCCTTTTTTAACGCAGTTATCGCATTGCTTCAGTTTCACATTAAAACTGCTTATTTTGTTCTGTTCTGCTAACACTTCTTAAGTGTTAGCAGTCCAGCAGTGCTCCCACACAACAGACCCCTAGCAGAGCTCTTGTTTGAGAAAATGATGGAGGGAGACCTTAATGGCTTATTTATTTATAAATCAAATGAAGATAATAATTAGCAGCAATTGTGTAGAGAAAAGTAATTACCATTGCAGAGCAACAAGTATGAAGTATTATTTTTTGAGTAAGAACCATTATTTGAAAATGAATATGAAGATTATCTTTTTTATTTATTTCTATTTATGCACATACACTCATACGCTGTGTCAGGGTTCTGTCACTTCACACGGGACGAGAATTCACTCATTCTTGTGCGCTTTAGACTTGTTGTGTGAGTGTGCGACTTTGGGTTCGCTCGGGCCGTATGCTTTTTGGTCCATGTGTGTTGTTGTGTTCTGTGTAGCACACGGTAGTGATGGGGACGAGACCGCCTATGCCGAGTCCGAGTCAAGACCGAGTCTTTGAAGGGCCGAGTCCGAGTCGAGACCGAGTCTATGAAGGGTCGAGTCCGAGTCGAGACAGAGTCCATTGGTTTTCAAATACAGTCGAGTCCGAGTCAAGACCGAGTCTTTGAAGGGCCGAGTCCGAGTCAAGACCGAGTCTATGAAGGGTCGAGTCCGAGTCGAGACAGAGTCCATTGGTTTTCAAATACAGTCGAGTCCGAGTCAAGACCGAGTCTTTGAAGGGCCGAGTCCGAGTCAAGACCGAGTCTTTGAAGGGCCGAGTCCGAGTCAAGACCGAGTCTATGAAGGGTCGAGTCCGAGTCGAGACAGAGTCTATGAAGGGTCGAGTCCGAGTCGAGACAGAGTCCATTGGTTTTCAAATACAGTCGAGTCCGAGTCAAGACCGAGTCTTTGAAGGGCCGAGTCCGAGTCAAGACCGAGTCTTTGAAGGGCCGAGTCCGAGTCAAGACCGAGTCTTTGAAGGGCCGAGTCCGAGTCGAGACCGAGTCCATTGGTTTTCAAAAACAGTCGAGTCCGAGTCAAGACCGAGTCTTTTAGGGAAGCAAGTCCGAGTCGAGATTTTGTCTCGACATATCAGTTTTGATATTCATGATTTAATATCACCCCAGTTAATAATCAACAGTTAGGCCTACAGACTAAGCTAGATTGGGAATTGTTTAGAGGAGCAGTCTTAACTAGTGATGGGGACGAGACCGCCTATGCTGAGTCCGAGTCAAGACCGAGTCTTTGAAAGGTCGAGTCCGAGTCGAGACCGAGTCTTTGAAGGAACAAGTCCGAGATGAGTCCGAGAAAGCAGAAATCGTTCTCGAGACCGGTCTCGAGTCCGGTCTCGAGTACTACATCACTAGCACACAGTTCATGTTTATATCGGCTTTATGCTTTCTAACCAGCACAAGGTAACAATCTGATTTTTCTTTGGCCGCGTGCTTTAATGTCATGTTTTGTGTGGACACGCAGTCGGTGACGGTGCATTCAAACGAGGCGTCGCCGTTAACGCTTCTCATTAACTTTGGATGGGTGATGTCATGCATTGCCGAACTGAATTGTGGGTTCCGTTGCATCGAGTCACTGGCGTTGCTTGCGGAAGAAGTTGAAAACGTTTAAAAAATCTACTAACACAGGTGCAAAATGGGTTAAAACATGGGTACCACTTTAGAATACGGTTCCTTCGTTAATGAATAACTACACAAGAACCAATGAGTAACACAATATCAACAATCTAGTAACTATTATTAACTAACAAGAAACCCTGATTAACGAATTAGTAAGTAATAGCGCACAGATGAAAGTGGTACTTCATACTTCTATGGGAATTTCTAATTATTTGGATCCGTATTCGAAAGTGAAGATCATGGGAACTAACTAGTAATGACTCAAGTGTTACTACATGATCTAGTCATGATTTGTGCAACCAAACAAAAGTAATTTCAAGCGTTTGAGATTTTTGGTGAACTTTTAAATTCTTTAGAAGTATGTAGTAACACTTGAGTCATTACTAGTTTGTTACCATGATTCTTACAGTAGTTACTAATGAAAAGCCAATAAAGTGTAGAATCTTCTAATCACTCACAAGATATGGACACACACACACACACACACATATATATATATATATATATATATATGTATATATATATATATATATATATATGAGCTAGGTGACGTACATAAAAACATATTTTTTGGAAGGTAGGTTAAATAATAAGATAACTGTATATGGTATTTGGGTGGCTGAAGACTCAATATGTTCCAGTACTCACCATGACTCTAGTGATTCAATTATTAACAGCTTTTCCAAATCATAAGTCTGCTATGCTATTACAAATTGATAATGTAAACAGCCTTGTATCGTTTACAGTAGCAATTAAAATGTTAAAGTACTGCTAGTCATTTGTCCTGCATTGGTTATTGATTAGTTTTGCATGAATTATGACATTTTTCAGTAGTTCTCTGGGAAGCATTAAAAAAAATAGTAGTTATTGATTAGTTAATAGTGAAGTACCACTTTCATATGTGCACTATTACTTACTAATTCGTTAATCAGTGTTTCTTTTTAGTTAATAGTAGTTACTAGATTGTTAATAAACTTTTTCATTAGTTCTCTGGGAAGCATTAAAAAAAATAGTTGTTATTGACTAGTTAATAGTGAACTACCACTTTCATCTGTGCGCTATTACTTACTAGTTTGTTAATCAGAGTTTCTTCTTAGTTAATAATAGTTACTAGATTGTTAATATTGTGTTACTCATTGGTTCTTGTGTAGTTATTCATTAACGAAGGAACCGTATTCTAAAGTGTTACCAAAACATGCTTATTGGGTGTTAAATAATGGCGCAAATACCAGTAAATTGACTAGCACAAACGTAAATCACCTTGTACTGTATGATTCATTAAAATACTCTCCTCTCATAAATTTTGCGTCTGAAAGGGAAACTCCTACAAGTTCATATGCAGTAAGGTCATCCACAAATATATCCCTGTCCACACCTTTTCAGAGTTATTTTTTTTTACTGCGTGTCTTTAGTAAATCCTGACAGTATTTTTAACACCAAAAGAGGGTTTGCACTGGCACAAGCAGTTAGTAAACCTGGCCCTCAAATTTGAGAACCTTTTTTGCAATGGAAAGCCTTCCAAATTTTTTTTATAATAATAATTAAAATAATAATAATAATAATAAAAAAAAAAATATATATATATATATATACAGAATAATTGTAACTGCTGCACTTATTACACTCATGTTATTTTCTGTTAATAACAGAAAAAAATACTACATGTATCACTATTAAATATTTTAACTGACTGCGAGCCCTACAACATATGCATTGAGGATATTTTAGTGGGGTGGCATATATCAAACAACTTCTCTCTTTCTTATATCACTTCCTTCAAATCCCATGGAGACATACCTTGATGTGCTGATACTCTTTCTCCTCTTCCTGAAGAACCTCAAGTTGCTTCAGAACGGACTCCTGCTGAAACTCTCCCCGTTCAATCTGTAGCAAACAACAGACCCGTCCCCACGTTAATATCTAGGTTACTCTCTCCCTTCCCTTCAAATCACTGTGCAGCTTTGGTACTCCAAAACGCTTCCAAATTCCAAAAGGAAAGCTACTTCAACTGGGGCAATTTGCTGTGAATATTTTGCATGTCATTAGCCAAAATTTGCAATGCAACACAATCTTGGGGAGGTGTCCAAATTCCTTGTCTTGCTTTGTCATAAGTTTTGCATCCTTAACTCGAATATAGCTCTGATTCTAGGCCTTTGAGGCTTGTGTGGCAATGAGTGAAATTTAGAAGAAGGGGGTGGCATGTTTTATTGACAAACACTTGATCACTGGCATCTCTATGGTTACATCTATACCCATGTCCTCCCAGGAAATGCAGGCTATGGGCTAAATATAGGCATCCAGGCCAGCAGGGTTCTCACACTTATGCTGCATTATTCATGGGTTTGACGTTAGCCGTGGCGAGGGAGATAGGCGCTATTAGTGTTGGGGTGGGGATGATTAGCATTCATTAGCTAAGGACGTGACAGGGACTAGTATAATGAGCTAGCTTGTTGATTTGGGGGTGCTGATGGGGTAATGGCAAGCGGGATGTTTACTTCAGAATGTGACTCACCATGAGTTGCTTCATGGCGGAGTGTTCCTCGTTTTCTCGGGCTGCGTTGTGATCTTTGTGTACAATTTCCACTCGAATGTCGTTCTTGGCTGATACCACACCTTTGAGGTCTGAGAGGAAAGTTACATATGTTACTCTAGTCGTGCCATTTTGTGTAATGTACTGATGTGAAATATATTTTTTAAAAGGATCTATCTCCATGCCACTTCACATTGCCTTAATACGAGTCCCTAAAACACATGCTGCCTTCAAGTCATATTTACGAACTAAGATGAATCCCAACTTCCTGACATTGGGGCATGTAATGATATATATAAGAATTTATACATTTATAGTTTTGAGAATTAGCCTATATTATATTATAATAAATGTTTTTTGTTTATGTAATAATTAATTATTATATTAATATGATAATTCATTATGTAATTTATTATCGTAAAACTTTAGTTTAGGGTCCAATTCTCACTATTAACTAGTTGCTTATTAGCATACATATTACAATATATTGGCTGTATATTATTACTTATAAAGCACATATCAATGCCTTATTCTGCATGGCCATATTCTTCATACCTTAATCCTACCCAATACCTAAAATTAACAACTACCTTACTAACTATTAAGCAGTAATTATTGTTTTTTTGAGTTTATTGAGGGCAAACGTTGTAGTTAATAGTGAGTTAATACTCACTATTAGTGTGACATTAAGCTAAAGCATCAATATATATATATATATATATATATATATATATATATATATATATATATATATATATTCTTCATTTTGATGCGCTATAGCGTAAATTAGTTTCCTGATTTTGTTAGAAATTGAATTAAATAGAGAGAAATGTTCAATAAGGTGCCATTAGTTAACATTAGTTAATGCATTAAGTAACATGATCTACCAATGAACAATACATCTGTTGCAGTATTTATTAACCTTTGTTAATATTAGTTATTAAACTGCTGTTCATTGTTAGGTCATGTTTTCGTGAAATAAAACGAACAGATACAAATTTTGATTTAATAATGTATTAGTAAATGTTAAAGATAACATTATCTAAAACTAATAAATGATTTATAATATTTTTCCATTGTTAGTTCATGTTACCTAATGCAGTTAACCACCTTATATAAAGTGTAACTGAAATATTAAATTGCCCATTTTATTCCAAATAAAATCACATTCCGTCATGTTTACAACATCCTCAATCTTCAGTAGGAGGACTTGAAGGCAGCATAACACCACAGAACTAAGATAAGAGGAACTCTAGAGGAACCATTATACATCACATTAGAATCACACAGCTCATCTTGACGCATTGAAGAACAATGTTTATAGATAATTGGTGACGGTCAGGTAACAGGTCTTACTTTCTGTCTTAATTTTGCTTGCAAGTTCTCTCTGCTGAGCACAGATGGAGGTGGGCAGTGTAGGCATAACCAGGTGAGCGTCTTCTGTGGCATACAACAACAACATGCTCAACGCTAGAAATGCCACCAACAATCGTAAACTGCAAGCTCATTGTTCGCTGTCTGACGCTAACCTGTACATGGATGAGCTGTTTTCTCTTTTGATCATGTGAGAGAATGGATGCGGTAAAAGGAAAACAAATAAGAAACACAGAGATAAGGGTGGGCGGTATGACAAAAGCCTCATGAGTAGCAAAGAGATTTCTCAGAAAAAAACATTTTACTGCAACATAAAAAAAATGTATGTAAGATTTTGAGAATCATGATGTAAAATTATGATATTTAGGTAGTAACATTTTATTACAAGAGTAGTTATGGCATTACGAATAACATTTTTCAGTTTTATTCATGACATTTTACACCCCTTAATCTTCGAATTTTACAACGTAAAAATCATGCACACGTTAATAACAAAAAACTCAGAACAGCAATACATAATAAGTATGACTGACTGATTTATGTACACAGCCTCACATGTGTTGGTATAACAGCACTTCAGTTAAATATTGGGTAACACTTTACTTGAAGGGGTGTACATAAGACTGACATGACACCTTCATAACCATGACATGACATATGTCATGAATATGAAGTAGGGTTTATGCATGTTTATGACAACTGTCATTAAGTGTCTTTCGCTCAATAATGACATTTTGAATGCAAATATGACATTGTTTAAGATGTCTTTGTTATGACACCTTGACATAAACCATAAAATCATAACCTGTCAATTTAATGTCAAGTTGTCATGACAAAGACACTGACAGGTTATGATGTTATGGTTTATGTCAAGGTGTCATAACAAAGACATCTTAAACAATGTCATATTTGCATTCAAAATGTCATTATTGACCGAAAGACACTTAATGACAGTTGTCATGACAAAGACACTAAGTTAAACTGTCATGTGGTTGGTTTTGACATTGGCTGTCATAAGGCCATTATAACTGTGTCATGAATATTTTTCGTGACCTCAACTACAGTGGTACAAATTGAATTTGTCATTAAACAGTTATAATGGCTTCATGACAGGCAATGTCAAAACCAACCACCTGACAGTTTAATGTAATGTTAACCAATAAAGCTAAGTGGTTTCTTAAGTTTGATAATTAATCTGCTATGTCATGTTTATGACAGGTTGTGTTGTCTTAGTAATGTCAAGTTGTCATGACAAAGACACTGACAGGTTATGATGTATTGGTTTATGTCAAGGTGTCATAACAAAGACATCTCAAACAATGTCATATTTGCATTAAAAATGTCATAATTGAGTGAATGACACTTAATGACAGTTGTCACAAACATGCATAAAACTTCCTTCATATTCATAACATGTGTCATGTCATGATAATGAAGGTGTCATGTCAGTCTTATGCACACCCCTTCAAGTAAAGTGTTACCAAATATTGCAATTAATGCAAATCAGGTTGCAATGTTTCTAGATCACTGTAAGCAACCTACAATTAAACCTTACCAATGACACCAAAAACACATGGCGTACCAACATTGGAAAAAATACAACGCTATCTCACGACCAATTCGTTCGAATTTGTACGAGTGATTAAAAGGTGGCTAATTCGTACTAATTCATACGACCTCACTCGTACGAATTCGTACGATTTGTCTAAACTCACGTGATGGGTAGGTTTAGGGGCGGGGTCAGGGGTAGGGCATTTGTACGAATTCATACGAATTTGGTAACTCGTAAAATATGTACGAATTAGCAAAAAACGTGCAAATTTGTACGAGTGAGGTCGTATGAATTCGTACGAATTAGCCACCTCGTAAAATTCGTACGAATTGGCGTGAGATCGGGCTGGAAAAATACTAAGGTTTTTTTTTTTTTTTTTTTTTTTAACCACGGTTTTAACAGCATTGCAGAATTTTTACCGGCTGATGCATTTCTGGTCTATACCGTCATACCACCCAACCCTACACAAACACTCAACTAAAAGGAATATAGAAATAAAGGCTTGGTTTCTGTGAAGTGACATGAACACCTTAACAACCTGCTCTTTGTCTGACTGAGGAGCACTTGTTCTGGACATGCAGGAAGGCAATTGGTTGAGAGGTACATACTTCTCTGAGAGCGTGTACAGCAGAACGCTCCGATGGTTCCCATGAGGACGATGAATGCAACGAAAGCGCCAACTGCCACGCCGATGATCACAGCAACAGGGAGGGATTCTGTTGGAAAACAAAACAGAGCCTTCTACAGTAACACAGCATGCAGGACTGGTGGATCCAGCAACGCAGACACAGCCTCTCACTCCTGAACATATTTCAAGACCGAAATGAGAATCAAATGTTGTGTCAAAGAGACATTTGCACCTTCAAGGCATTTATTCAAAGGCAATTAACACTGCCATCACCTTCTGGAGAAAGCAAAGGTATCCTCAGTTTACATGAAAATCAGGCGTAACAATTTGCAGACATGCCAATCACCGCATACGTTTAGCACATGACACGCACTTAACATGTCTTGAATGTGAACTCTGCGTCGGATTTTATCATTCACCTTGGATCATTTACATACTCTGATTGAACATGGGTGTAATGTGAATTCCAACAATCCCATGAGTGTTTGATAAGCTGTGCTTTGGCTAATTAGAGCCAAATCAACTGTTTTATTTGTACTTTTGTTGGTATATTTATACCGAATGATAACCAGATTTTATGGCCAAATGATAATGAGAGTCAGACAATAAGCTGTACAATGCTAATTACTGTCTCCTAGTAAATTAAGCATTATGACTCCTGCGTACTAACACATTTGCATATTTAATGTCTTCAGAGTATTCAAAACCCAGAAATGCATTTTTCATTAAAGGAATAGTTTACCCCAAAATTTGTTTTTACACAAAGATATCGTATGGCTTTAGAAGACTTTGGAAGAGTTGTATAATGATACTTTTTATGCATTTGCATGCTTTTTTTTGTAACCATTAATTGTAATTTCAAGGAAAAGAGCAACCAGCATATTTTGTACAATTTCTTCTACATTCCACTGAAAAAACAAACAAACAAAAAAACTAATAGGGGTTTGAAATGAGTAAACGATGGCCAAATTCTAATTTTGTGGTGGAAACTAGTCCATTAAAGGGACTTAATTATGCTATTTTAAAGGTGTTTTATTTAATTTTGGAGTCTCCTACAATAGGTTTACATGCCGACTTTAGTTTTCTCATAATATACATTGCACATCACCTCATTTCTCAAAGAGTCTGAAAACGGTTAATTCGAAGATTCAGTCTCTCTAAACCCCTCCTGTCTGAGAGCCTTCTCTGCTCTGATTGGTCAGATGGCTGAGTCTGTTGTGATTGGTCGACCGCTTACAGTGCGTGTTGGAAACTAAACACTCCTTACCATATCTGAATTTCAGCTCCGGAGGTTTCTTGCAGCGCTGATAGTGATACGAAAAGTAACAATGGTGACTTTTTTTCTGTATCAATTCAAACGCGAGTCTCATTCTTTTGAAGTGCATGGAAAGTGGATATCCTGTGCAACTCTTAAAAAAACAGTTTATTCTCGACATGTCGACAACACGACCAAATCCTTCCAAACCTCAGCTACAACTAAAGTGTTTGAGAGTGAGGAAAAGCAGACGTTGTTCGCAGGCAGCCAATGAAGAGCGTAGGCTGGCATTATGCCAATTTGTTACATTGTTACGATTACTGATGACTCGCTTCGGCAGTTCAGAATCGATTCTTCCTTTTAGGAGACAATAACTTTATCGTGCACTTTGATCTTTAAAACTTTGCAGACCTTTTACATTCACAAACAGCTATATTACACACTGCATGAAAGGAGCTTTCCGAAAAAACAATCACTTCAAAGATCAAGTGAGACAAAATAGGTCTAAAATGTATTACATGTAAATGAATCCAAACCATGAAATCGCTGAAACATTGTAAGAAATGCACAAGAGAGAAATAATTAACTGTAGCAAGGCTGCAAATTAAATAGTGCTAAGTGTTGTTAATAGATTTACAAGATTTATTAAAGTTGCAGTTAAAAGTGCAATTATTTTGCTGTTGCAATGAAATACTCATTTGCCGATTGCCGAATGAAAAGTAATCTAAAATAGGTACATTGAGAAAAATATATTAATATGATGTTGATGTGAATTGGTAATCTCATATAAAGTGATACATAATGTATAAAGTGATAAATGGAATGTAATGGAGAAAATATTGAATGTTTTTGGTCTAGTGTTTTCAAAAAACATGGTTATGAAACACTGCATCACTATTCTACCGCAGACATGTTTTAAAGAAAAGAAGGTGGAACCTGGCGGACCTTGGATCCCACCTTGTTCCTTGAGGCGAATGATCTCTGTATCCGACCCAAAGCTGTTCCAGGCGGTGCAGTTGTAGATGGTCTGAAAGTCGGCAGGTACGATGTTACTCATGGTGAGCGTGGACAGCACTCCGTCCTCTGTGCTTACGGTCTCCACCGTGTAGCGACCTGACGTCCCCGACTCCAGGACAGTCTCCTTCCAGGACCAGGCCTGATGAAGAACAAAAGAAACCATATTGAAAAGACCAACATATGTACAGTCTGTTGTTCTTGATGCTGGTCTGTAGCATCACTGCAAAACAACTTTTTTAAATAGCTTGTTTTCCCTTATTCTTGTTTAGGCATACATCTAACATAAAATTTTATTGAGGTTTATGCTTAACTCTTTCCCACCATTGACGCATTTTTATGGCAATCCATGTTTTTACTGTTATATGGTATAGGGGGCGCTATTACGCATCTTCTGAGAGAGTACAGCATCTCTGAATCAAACAAACAATTGAAACAAGCAATAAAGCATTGCTTACGCACATGTAAGCTAACACGATCATCAAACATTAAACAGCGTATAAATCAAAAACGCCAATTGTTACAAAATGAAATGTCTCCCAGGACGAAGTACAGGACTGTGAATCATTGGGGGTGTTGATGGACTCAATCTACTCCATGTTTGTTTTGGTCATCGTTCTGAATCCAATCCAGCTGCAGTTTTTGACAAAAATGCAATTTTCAAAATGTTGCTTTTTTAACGAAACGTACCCACATTCAAGCATTGATTAAAACAAAAAGAGTGCATGAAGCTTAAATAAAATAATAAAATGTTTGTTTGTTTTTTCTCTCAAAAAGGCTTTGTCTTTCTGTAGATAGATTGCATTTTATGATATACATGCAACAAAATATTCTGCGGGCTGTAAGTTTGTAAAAATTATCAAAAATACTAGCGGTGGATGGCAACTTTATAAAAAAAAAAAAAAACACTGGCGAAGAAAGTGTTAAAATCTGAAAAGTGGGGCAGATGGGGTACAAAAATTATAGAAAAGTCTTATCTGACTTCAATTTCTCAAGTAAATGTTTAATGTAGCACTTCAAAATAATGTCTCATTTGTTAACTATATATTTTTTACAGCATTTATTAACCTTCATTAATGTTAAAATTATTATTATCATTTTAGTTTACAGTGCATTAACAGATACAACATTAGCTAACAATGAACAATATTTCTACAGCATTTAATCTTAGTTAATGTAAACAAATGAAATCTTGTTGCAAAGTGTTACCATTTTGAAGATGCAAGACCCTCTTTTTAGCTTCACAACCATTTTTTTTTTCCCTTTGGGTAAATAGCATGACTCTACTAGCACTAAGCAACATTAACCAGCCTGAATCAGCCTACTGGTGCAAGCTGGTCTTTTCAGCTTGCAAAGAGAGACTTGCATTTGCTTTCATCTGCTTTATGGGCGTTATTACACTTCTAAAGTTATTACTGGTTGTTCCAGACCACAGGAGCAGTATTTCCCATTCAACTGACATTTAGAAATAGCATGGCAATAAAAGCAAAGCCACACGAGTAAACATCGTACAGAGATTACCTATGCACTTCCATGCACACGGCCACAAACACACACCACAGAGGGAGTAATGAATCAAAAATTGGCCCGGAGAGGAGACAGTTCATCTAAGAGTGGTAAATCCTAATTGGATCTGTGGTAACAGGGCATAAGCATGCATTAAATGAGAAATTAGGGCTGTAAGCCTGCCATGTCTAATACCCGTTCACTCATATAGAGGAAACAAATGATTTGAGATGCAATTTCATTTATTAAACAGATCGTAACTCATGAGTGCGTCATGCATTATTGGACTGTGTTTACTGAGTCTAATGGAGTCACACAAGCCATGTGACAACAGCAAGCGCCCACTCAACAGCTGTAGTCCTGACTGAGCTGAGTCACTGGAAGGAGAGTAACTCACAATGCGGTCTGGGGGTGGCGTGCTGCGGATGAAACATTTGATCTGTCCCTTTTCCCCATGTGGAGCCTGATGTGTCTGAGTGCTGGAGATGGTCGGAGGTCCTGAGGAGAGAAAAGATGCACATAGTCACTCGTCACATACTCAGAACTGTGAGCTAACAGTCCCCTGTTTGCGAGAGAGTCCTAGGAATCTCTTCAAAACTGCTTATGACTGGAGGACACTACAGAGAAGACACAAGTGTGTCGCTTTTAACAATTTTTGCTAATATTCTATTCCATCTATCGATTTATATTACATATATTTGATGTATAACCTGTTCCTAAAGTACAAGATTTAAGCATAATATCTCTACCCCTACAGTTAGAGATATTATAAATACCTGTAGGTTACTTGGAAGATGCATCAGGATACATCAATTTGGCTGTGACTCAAGTATCACTCCAGACACTTGAACTGGCTCTTTAAAAATGCTAAAAGTGCACTTGAATATACTCCGAGTCTGGATGTTTGCCAAGGTATAACATTCTTCATTCACTAGAAAATGTACACAAACCTCACTTTTAAATTAAATTCTGTTTACCCCCCACTTTCCGTGTGCAGCAATAGCACATCTTCAGTTGCTTCGGTCAAGCAGTCTTGACATTTGTGAATCTGGTGCATTGTATAATGACCCTCATTTGTACAGTTGGACTGCAGCTGGGATGTGAATAAGACACAGGGACTTGTTGAATTTGCCCTGGAGATTTACAGCAGCACGTACCAAGGCTGACATACGCATTACCAGTTCCAAGATCGACAAATTCGGCTGGCCCACGCTTCGAGAGAGGTGTCAAACTTTAACCGAGGAGGCTGAAGATCTCATCTGTAAGATCTGCCAATCAAGTGTGCAATACTGAGGCCTTGCGGTGGCATGCTATAAATTTGGCATTAAAAGGAAAGAGCAGCATTGTATTGGGTTTGAATGGGCAGAATCGTAAAGGAGTCTCCTGTGGGCTGGTCTATTTAAGAGTTGTGTTAAGGGTGAGGGAGTGAGGGTCTGGTCTTCATTTTCAATCTTGAAAAGAACTGATTTATGGCAGGCCTCATGTCTCCCGAGGAGATAAGACTCAGCGTGCCAACTGCAGGTCTATTTCTATAGGCAGCAATCGGAAGAGTGCCAATGGTGGGAAAATGTTATTTTGAAGAGATAACGGCCCCCAGAGCGTCTCTTCATGTTCACTTTTAACCCTGGGGCCTTGAACTTTGAACTCTGGCTTATGCTACAGCTCACCCTCTTTTTCCAAAATTGCACAAAACAAGCAAGCTACTGATGTAAAGGGTAAACAATGTTTCTCTAAGATAGATTTGGAGTAACTTCCCTGCTTAATGGATTACCAACCCTGCCAAAAAACTGCACTTGCGTACACAGGCACACAAATTCACACCAATCCACCAATCATGCATCTGCCAATCATCCGCGGCGGTGTCTCTCGACTGATTCGTAATTGCAGTTTATTAACTGGCTCTTATTAGAATAAATTAGCATCTAGATGAGCATGAGGCAGATGGAGTGCTGTAGTGAGGGGAATATCAGGCTGGTGGAGAGGAATGTTACACTTCACACCCCTTCATTAGACACCAGTTCTGCAGCGGTACCTTACTGCTTGTAATGTACGCATGCTATGTGCATGCTACCCTTCGACTACAAAATCATAATCCACACGATAGGATGCGTTAAAGGCTGGAGTGCATGTGTAGTTGCAGGCGTAAGGTAAATCCATTCAGATCATTCCCTGCTGACAGAGGTAAGGCCAGCGCTCGGTGGCTCAGAAGAATCAGCCCATGGATCAGGCTGTAAATGAGGAATATAATTAGATAGCTTATCACTTATCCTCAGAATGCTGGGTTTAAGGAACTCTGTGGGGAGTGGGAAGGCTGGAGGCTGGGTGAGAGAGAGAGAGAGAGAGAGAGAGAGAGAGAGAGAGAGAGAGAGAGAGAGAGAGAGAGAGAGAGAGAGAGAGAGAGAGAGAGAGAGAGAGAGAGACCCCTCATTGGATTGCAGGGAATATGTTTGTGACAGTAGGAGGCGTACAAGGGTCATAATGTACGGATCATCATGGGGTGGTGTCGTGAAAAGTGGCGTCACCCCACAGAATCCTATCCCTAAATTATTCCCTCAGCCAAAACAGGTTTGTGTGAGCACTTTATTCAATTCATAATGATAAATATAAAAACAATTTGTTTTAAATTGCATTTTGTATATCATCTAACATAGAGTGTGGCAGTGATGACATATTTTTGTAGGCGAATCCGGAAGTTAGCTTCACCCTGGTTCTCTTCACAAAAACCCAATAGGATTTTTACATTGGTTTTTGGATTATTGCAGAAAACATCTCTGGGACCAACAGGTTTATGAATCTTACACGTTTTTTTCATCATGATAGTTCTTCACAAATGAACACAGCATTCAGCGGAAGTTCAAATCTAAATGTATACTATAAATGAACTATACTATGGTCGTGAGACTTCAACATAACCATCATTAAGCTTAAGACAACTCTTTCAGTCTTTATTTTAAAATAAAATGTTCTCTTTGAGTTAGGATAGTTTGCAAAAGCATGAGTCCAAACACAAAGAGGCTATGAACGCGACTAGATGAGTTGTTCGGCATGATGACGTTTCGTTTCCCTCTCCCATTTAGACACTTATTAGAAACCCGATTTTTTAGACACATTTTGACTATTTTAACTGAAAATCACTTTCCTGGGGTATGAATATCAGGAGATGGAAAAAAAATATATTTCCAAAAGGAAGGACACTAAAATGGGCCCCATTTCAGCTTTCATTTTCTCCATTGTTTTTCTTTTATGTATGTAAACACACTTGTGCATACACATACACTTAGACAAGTATATATTTCCCTGTGTTTTTTTTTTTGTGGTCCTCAAATGTGCACCAGTGCACTCATGCACAGAAACCAGAAGTAGCAACCTTCCACAGAGACGCATATGTCCAAGCCTGGTTTGTTTCGCCTCATTTCCGCTGCCATACATTTTCATTACGGCACTCCAAGAGGGCTGAACCCAGTTCCATGAATAGTGCACGCTCCGTGTGTCCTCTTGCCAGCAGATCCAGCAAATAAATGCAGGATCTGGACTCCTCTTACCTGCACACTGACCTTGGGCACACAACGCCCTATTTTTAAATGTCTTCCCTGAACTCACAGAAGTGCCTAGAAACTACTCCCCCCTTATTCCTTTCAACCTCATTTTTGTTATAGCATAAAATGTTCCTTAAAGCACTTCACCTCCACTCCATTGTGCCTTCACCCCATGGCAAAGCACATCATTTTCAACCATCCATCTATTAAGGAGTTTTCACACTTTCACAGATTCCACAATTGGTGCCATTATATGAGCGAGTCAGTGGAGCTTGTGTGATCCGTCTCTGGAGTGTGGTCAAGACTAAAAGAGGAAAGGTTAATGATCTCACTGTGATATAGGATTTGTATCTGTTCACATACTACGATACAATTACGCATGGACAACTGTGTCAGAAATTGTCACATGAGTGAGTTGATTGTCGCATTGATACTGGTTTGTATATTACAAACATTTTCCCCTGCATGATGTTAACATTTAGCAGCAAGAAAACAGATGCCTTGTCAAAATAAAACAATTTCTTATTTCTACTTGCAATAACACTACACTACTGTGCACCACAGTTTATAAGCTTGGGATGTTTAGGATTCTTTAAGGAGTCTCTTCTGCTCACCAAGGATGCATTTACAAAAAAAAAAAAAAAAGAGTTTGCAACATTGACAAGTGTTTCTAGAGCAGCAAATCAGCATAATATAATGATTTCTGAAGGATCATGTGACACTGAATACTGGAGTAATGATGCAGGAAAAAATATATATATTTTAAAACATAATATTATAGAAAATTATCTTTTCATTTGTAATATTCCACAATAATACTGTTTGTCTAAACACAGCCTTTTTTTAAATGCAGCCTTGATGAGCAGAAAAAAAAAATCATTTATTTGAACAGTAGTGTACATATAACAAAACAAACAAATTGAATCTGCAAGCCATATCCACAAGCAACATCACAAATAAATGAACATAAGGACACATTCAGATATTAAATCCCATTAAGGCTCAACATACACATGGAGAAATGAGATCCCTATCTGAGGATCTAGGGAACAAAAAGCAGAAAGCAATGGGCAACCATTAGCGTGTTTTCTGCAAACGGTGTCCCCTGCTAGCTATTTGATTATAATTAAATTACATTGGCCCTGAGCGAACGCTGGAACTCTCTTGTCTATATTCTGAGTCTCAGTAGGAGCTCTGGGTTCCAGTGACAGGCAACTGGGAGGAAACATATATTGACAAATCCCAAACATGTGCATTTTTATTAGCATAAATTAGTTTTTATGTGACTCAGTGAGGATCAAGCTAGCATAGGTCAATTATTTCTTATTTGAGCTCTAGTTCCCCTCTTCATCCTTCTCACTTGCTTTCTCTCTTCTCTTACTGATCAAGCCTTTGAAAGACAAAGCTCTGGTCATCAATCATTCCTCACGTCAATGCTTTTGAATTTCACTCACTCGTCAGGAGCACGTGTTGATGAGGAAGATGTGAAATGATCGGCTTCATCTCCCAAATGCACCATGACTTGAAACAATCAGCTCCGTGCAACAAGAGAGCCTGCGCCACATGTTACCACATCAAAGACTGCGCTATAGGTGCTCGAGTCTAACATCCAGGACTCCTGTGTTCACTTCCAGAAATGAGTTAGAACACAGCTTGCAGTCCTCTTGAGGCTTTTAGAGCGAAAGGACTCATTGAAAATCATAAAAAAATCTTGCTTTTTGACATCTAAAAGACAGAATCACGTCATGAGGTGTAAAATGATGCAATGGTGATAATAAACAAGGTAAATGGGTAATTAGTAAAAAAAGCAATCCAGAGGAGGTAATCTTAGATACTCCATATACACAGTATCAACAAACAAATTAATGTATTTTTATTCGCAGATGTGTCTTAAGAATTATTGCATAATTATTTACACATTCTCGTAGAATGTGAAAGCACATTTGCTTTATTTCACTTTCACATTGTGTATTGAATTCAGTTGAATTTTCAGACATCACTTTTGAATCAAAATAGAATTGAGTAAATCAAATCACAGTCGACCTGAAGATTCACACCACTGGTCTGACATTATATTAGTATGTCACTTTTTACAATCAGAACCATTGAGAATTGATCTGATTGTAAAAAAGTGACATACAAATGTAATGTCAGACCAGTGGTGTGAATCTTCAGGTCGACTGTGCGAATTCGATTTACTCAATTCTATTTTGATTCAAAAGTGATGTCTGAAAATTCAACTGAATTCAATACACAATTCCATATAAATGCAGTATTCAGTATTTTTCTTTTATTTACAGGTTAAACACAGTATATTGTCAAAAGCTCTAGCTAAGGTTCCTTATACCTGTTGTTTTTAGACGCTACAAATCAACCCAAAAAAATATTCACAGATGGTGAAAGAGTGGCAGAGCCTTCGGCAACTTTAGTTGCCTGTGGGCTTAAAGGTTTTAACACTGAGAAACATGGTGACAAAGTGTTTGATCTTTTCATAAACCTCAAGATATCTTTCTACTACCAGAAAAACTAAAAACATGACCACATTTATTAAGGATTCCAGGCAATCCTGAACTCTCTAGGAGTCAAGAATGAATGCAAAGCAGAGGTACTCTTCACTGTCCCCATAAAGAACAGAATGCACTTGATGAAAGTGGATGTCATCTGTAATTTCTATAATTCCTGTGTTCTCTATAGGTCTAGAATGAATGTCTGACTTTGCATATTAACACTATCAGTCATAACAGTTCTTTATTGATTTTCTTTCATTTCACAGCACCAAACTGCATTAGCGATTCTAAACTTGCAGAGGAATCATTCAATGCAAACACAATTGTCACTTTGGCTGAACTTCTCTTATTTTCCACTCACGTCAAAGCCGTAGCCCATGGCAAATAGCTTCGGAGAGAAAGGAGCTTTTAAAAGACGTGTTGGATTTTGCGAATGAAAGCTGTTGTGCGGCTAATGCATGCCGCCTGAATTTCAAGCGGCCGTAATGAAGTCATTTGTCTGAGAGTAGCCAGTCTCCCGCTATTCTCCTGTGTTCATTAGCCTGTCACAGCCTAAGAAACAGCTCCTCATGCAATTCTTACTGAATATAATCAGCATTAGCCCAGAGAAACAGCAGACCGAAGAGTAAACATCAAACTTCTGTCTCAGAGTCAACATGAATGTCAAAATAGGTCTAATTCATATCACCTGGATTTTCAATTGCTTGCACCTTATTTACTTACACATGTTCCAAACGGAGATGTTTGCAACCGTCAAACATAAAGTGACACACCTTATACCCGCTAGTCAAACTCATTAGCCATACACCTTTTAGAAGAGTGTCAAACTTACCATTTACGGTGAGAGAGACTTCCTTCTCAGCCGCTCCAACGCGAGGCACCACCGCACGGCACACATACTTCCCAGCATCCTCTTGCCTGACGGATTTCAGTGTCAGGATGTTCTCATTGCTTAGCACCTGTAGTCAAAAGTCAAAGATCAAAACATCAGTGCAACGGAGCTGGCCAGAGTCAAAACGAATCAGGACGGATGGGCAGCTAAGCTTGGAAAAAGGGCCTTCTTCTCAATTATTAAAATCCAATTTGGGTCAGATGAGGAGGACCATGTGAACATGGGAGATGGTAGGTGACAGTCAACCGGGAGAGAAATAAGACCGGTCGGTTTCCCCCAATGTCCGTGCCAGCATACGGACGTATAGTAGGATTGCAGGGAAACTTAAAAATCCTAATGTTTGCCATCGAAGTACAGCTCTGAGTGTAAACACTATGTACCATCATGTCCTTGAAATATTAACGTCTTTTTAAAAAAATACAATTATTTTTTTCTATTCGGTTCCTGAGCTGTTCAGGAATAAAAGGCAAGGTATTAATAGATCAAAGGTTTTATATGACGAATATCATATTGAACTTGTAAATGAATGGATGAAAATCCAATAACGTGATTTTTCATGTCTGCTTGATCTCTTCTTCTTTACAAAGATGAGATGTTGTCTGAACATCAATGTACTATTAATGTAGCTAACATGAAAAATGCGATGGTTGGTGTAAGAGAACTGTGTGTTTGCGTCAAAAGATTAATCTTGCAGTTGGGTTTAAGGGCAATGTCCAACAACAATTTCTAGCAACTTACCACCCCAGAGCCCCTTTTCATCCATACAATAGTTAAAGAGGGATTTCCAGTCCAGGCACAGTTAAACACAGCATCTGATCCTAGGTCAACCTGTAAAGACTGGGGCTCTGCAGCCATCCGAGGTCCAACTGGAGAAAAACAGACCAGGTTATAAGATCCACTCAGAGAGGTCACATTTGTAAGCTTGTTTTAATATGAGATTGGTAGGAGGAAGCTGAGAATTACAGTCTCTCATAATAATGCTCCTGATACCTTTACAAACTATGAACCAGAGGTGTCCAGTCCTGCTCACGGTGGGTCAAATTCCTGCAGAGTTTTGATCTAACGCTAATTTAACACACCTGGACCTGCTAATCAAGGTGTTTAGGATTACTAGAAGTGTGCATGTATGTTGGAGAAAGTTGTACCTCTGCGGGAACGTGGTCCTCCAGGATGGTTTGGACACCTCTGTTATGAACAAACAGAAATAACTCACAGTAGACATCCACGTTCCGACTAATGTTGGTGCTCCCGAGTGGGTTAGTGACCTCACAGGAAACTGGCTCTGTGAAGAACGAGTGGTCCACTACGACCTCGTAAGTGTCTCCTGAAACCTCCTTTATCACGCTTCCTCCTTTTGCCCACCTACAAGCAGTAGAAAGTGATTATTACTAAACAAAAGTTAATGATAAAGCACACAAAAGCCAGTTGATGGTTTTCATATATTTCATTTAGCATTGAAAGACAAAATGTTGCAGGATGTCATTAATCTGTACACTCAAAAAAGTGCAAAAATGTTATTAGGGGTACAACAGCTTGTCACTCAATCCTCAAAGGGAAATCTTATTTTCCTCTCTTATATGCTCCCTTTAATGGTAGATAGGGTACAACGTTGTCCTTTTAAGTGTACTGCCCCAGTGACAAGCTGTTGTACCTCTATCTATAGGTACAATTTAGTCAGTGTTGCTACATGTAAGTGTTCCTTGATCAACGTCCTTATCTAGGGCTGTCCAATCCTGCTCCTGTTAAGAGTTTAGCTCCACTCAACACACATGAAACAGCCAATTAAGATCTTCAAGATTACTTGAAACGTCCAATGTTGGGGTAAGTTGTAGCTAAAGTCTACAGGAAAGTAGCCCTCTAGAAGCAGGATTGGAGACCTCTGTCCTTATTGGTCCTGGAACAAACCTTCTGTCAACTAGTCAGATTTAAAGGGTAACTAAACACTAAACCAACTTTTTTTAATTAATGATCTGTAAGACTGGGGCTTTATTAGTGCTGTTCATTGATTCGAGTAACTTTTTTGACATTTGGGTATAAAGTGTTTTAAAGGGTTAGTTCACCCAAAAATGAAAATTATGTCAGTAATTACTCACCCTCATGTTGTTCCAACCCCGTAAGACCTTCGTTCATCTTCGGAACACAAATTAAGATATTTTTGATGAAATCTGAGAGCAGGATCACTCCTCTATACTAGTCCATAGGCTTCTTCTGGGATTGAACTTGCCGGCCTCGAAAAGTTATTAAAGACATCGTTAAAATAGTCCAAGTGACTACAGTGGCTCAATCTTAAGTTTATCAAGCGACGAGAATACTTTTTGTGCGCAAAAAAGAACAAAAATAACGACTTTATTTCAACTATTAATTTCCTTCTCTGTGGGCCTCGAGTCAGTTCACTAGTGTAACAGCGTAAGCTTCTGTTGTTGTACGTCACACGCATCACGCACATGACCAGCGTCGGCCAATAGTGAGCCTACGTGTGACGTAGCTCTACGGAATCACACTACGTTAACTGACTAGAGGCCCAAAGAGAAGGAAATGAATAGTTGAAATAAAGTCGTTATTTTTGTTTGTTTTTGCGCACAAAAAGTATTCTCGTCGCTTGATAAACTTAAGATTGAGCCACTGTAGTCACTTGGACTATTTTAACGATGTCTTTAATAACTTTTCGAGGCTGGCAAGTTCAATCCCTGAAGAAGCCTATGGACTAGTATGGAGGAGTGATCCAGCTCTCAGATTTCATCAAAAATATCTTAATTCGTGTTCCGAAGATGAACGAAGGTCTTACGGGGTTGGAACAACATGAGGGAGATTAAATACTGACAGAATTTTCATTTTTGGGTGAACTAACCCTTTAATTCTACAATATATGGTGTAAAAACGTCTGAGTGCTGCCCTCTTCAGGTTGAACGGTGGCTACTGCAGTTGAATTTTCCTATTGGATGTTTGCGGTAGTTCGTGACGGTAGCGGTGAGAGCTGACGTAAGCAGGTTTCAGCTTACCACGCCCTTGGTACGAGCTACCACTTCCATGGCAGTATAAAAAACATCTTGTTTCGTCAAAACCACTGTAGCGAGTCAGGAGTTGGAATTGCGAGTATTGAAAACGATCAGGATAGAGTATCCGTTCATCCCCTCTATCTCCGCTGGGCTCCGCCCACTTTTCCAGCCTTTTTTAAAATATTTCCAGTGGGTGGAGTCAGGCTCTGACCAGGGGTTTAGTTACCCTTTAAGGCTTACGTTTAGAGCTGGGTTTGGTGAAACATTCTTATCAATCTAGCATTTCCTTTACACTATTTTCTTTCCTTTTGCTCTATGTTGGACATTTTCTTTTGTGACTGCTTTAAATTGTATTGTTCTATTCTGGATTGAATTTAACTGTTGATATTTCATTATAATAAATAAGATAATCAACCACAGACTTTATATTTATTTTGTCAAATGCTAACGTTTTCTTTAGGATTTTAGATACCTTTTTTTAACACAATAGGTGTAGTCACGGATAGCACATAATGTGGTAATGTTACACATTTTTACACATCTTTATGTTAGCCTTTCTGACACATTTAGTGTGTTAAAGTCATTAACACAGCGAATGAGTGAAAATTAACACAAAAAAAGTGGTCCTGGAACTCACCCATGAATGTGTAAAAATGTAATTAATTTTTTTATTTAATTAATGAAATGGTTGTGTAGGGCTATGTTTTATCAGAATGTTGTTCCAGGTCCAGCAAAAGTCCAGCAAAATGTTTATCTTTGAATATGTTGTACTTTGGTAAAACCATTTTAACTGATTCAAGTCATTACATCAAACTTCAGTCTTAAATTCCCTTACACATTTAACCCACATTTATAACCTCAAAGACATGCTATCTAAGATAATTTAAAATGTCCTTATAAAAGTAGTATTCGATTTGTAACCCCTTTTAAGCCTAACTTTTTCCTTTAATGGAACAGAAAGCCATCATTTCAAGTCCCTGCCAGATCTCACAGGAAAAGAGAAACACAATGTAGAGGTTACCATGGCAATAACAGGAAAACCTGGTGTCTAATCCATTTGCTTCTATCATAGTCATCAATGAGACATGATAGCTGTCTGTCTGTAGGTGAGACCGACAGAAAGAAAGACAACCACCTTCTGTTGGAGCCGATTTATCCTAGTTTTGTTTGAGGAAATTACAACACTGTTATATGACAAATCATTGAAGTGAGATTTCTCTTGCCTCGGCATGTTTTTTGCCTGTATACCAAGTTAACAACACTGAATGGAGCCAGACTGGCAAAAACAAATCTCTCCACACAAACCCCATATACTGTACCAATGAGACTTAAGAAATTGTCAGCGCTCTGCACGAGGAACTATTCGTTTAAGTAAGAGAAATGCAACTTCCGGCAGGACTTAGTTTCTCCCAAGCGGACAAAGTAATGCATATCTATGTCACTTGCTTGGTCTAGTTTGTGGTTCCCTGTTGGCGACTAAGATGGGACTCATTTATACAAGCCAAAGCCAATTGAATATGGGTGTCACAGTCTGACACTAGGGTGCATATTTCAATAAACGAGTATATTCAATGCCAGTTAACTCCTCGCTGTTGAGAAGTATCGCTTTACCCAGCCAGTTTTACATCTCAGTACACTAAAAGCAGCCGGCACTGGTAGAGCGGTGCCAAAACTTCACTATTCACCTGCACTGTGGGAGTGAGCGCACAATTCATTACCTCTGCAACTAACTCGTGCCATCTGTGGGCCCCGATAGAGTGTCATTTAAATCATAACAGTCTCCCTCTTGACTAAATTAAAGTAAGGAGGGAGAGCAGTTGTAATTGGCCTAGCTAGTGTGCTTGAGAAGCACTGTGCCATGTTGTTAACATAAGCAGCTTAGAACACAGTCTGCTAAATCTGCACAGGCACACCTGTGCCTCCAAAAATATTCAAATCAGTGCAGACGGCTGCGCATGTCGTCTCCGTCCTCGACAAAATTGTTCTGGGGGAAGTGAAAATGCATCACTGTGAAACTTTATATTCTTGGGCAATTACAGAAGCAGTCACCTGCTATACGTCTACTACCAGAGTTTTTCTTTCTTGCAGTAACATATAAATTACACATGGAGCTTTTGAAGCTGCTGCTTTGTAATTAGATGAGATGATTGACTATGCCATAATTTAATTCAGCTTTAAATAGCCTGTTTATTACAAGAGCCTAAGAGGATTATTATCATCTTTTTAAGTAACTAGCTTATATGTGTGCATTAGCTACGTGCGTCTTTCATTATTCACTTGTATTCATACAATTATTTTTCTGTTTATTCAATCTTGGCTGTGGTCCCTTATGATAGCAGCACATCTTTCCTATTCATCAAATTGCATATTTCATTCAGTCATTTTTATCCATTGACAGCTCTACCAATAAGTCAAACTAGTATTCTGACAGCACAAAACTATGGCAATGCAGAGCAAAGCAGGATTGCATGTTGGTTTTAAGCCTATGGGGTGGCAGACTGGGAGGTTTGGCCGGTAGAGAAGACCCAAATGGTGGGTTAGCTTTGCCAGAGCTGAAGGATTCAGCGCTGCACATTGAAAGAGCCAAAACATCCGTGAGCACAGTGGCTCCACTGGGCTTCAGCCAGGGTCTTCAAAACAGAACAAACATGACCCAACTGAGTGCCTGTGTAAACTTTTGTAAACCCGAAGACTCCTTTATTATTCTGCAGTAGAAGGGTAGTATCAGGGGGAATCGAATGTTTGGCATTCCTATAAGTCAATGCTCTAAGTGAAGCTTTGCTGTAGGTTCAGACATAGTTTTTGCTCACTTAAAAAAAAAAAACTAAAAAAACTAACAGCAACAACAATAAAACATTTATTGTGTTTGTAGGATCTTTTTTTTTTTTTTTTTTAATGGTAGGAGAGGCATAGCCTTGGGGAAAAAATACAAAAAAACAGAGAGTACTTATTATGGAAAAAATATACTTCAAAATAATATACTTAAAGGAGAACTCCGGCGCAAAATGAACCTTTGGTCTAATAGAACATTGGTACCTAGTCAACCGTTCTCTGAGATTAGTTTTCATGATAATCGAATGTAAAGAGTTTTATCTCTAAAAACTGTTTAGCGGATAACGCTTGTAATGGGGGCATATAATAAGTAAAAAGAAATCGCTAGTTAAAACCACTAACAAGGCTCAAAATAGCCCCACACGAACACAGTAACATAATGAGGGTCCCTACATGCAAAACGAAGCATTGGGAACTTAAGTGTACAGACCGTTTAATAGATAAAGATAAAGACATTCCACTTCGTGTATACAGACAGGAGCCATCTTTGGAAAACAGTCTCGACTAATCAAACCACGAACGCCAATCATACAGTTCAGAAGTTCGCTGAACTTTATACAGTTCAGCTCACTTAGCACGTCGTTCGTGGTTTGATTAGTCGAGACTGTTTTCCAAAGATGGCTCCTGTCTGTATACACGAAGTGGACTGTCTTTATCTTTATCTTCTTATTAAACGGTCTGTTCACTTACAAAGTTCTCAATGCTTCGTTTTGCATGTAGGGACCCTCATTATGTTACTGTGTTCGTGTGGGGCTATTTTGAGCCTTGTTAGTGGTATTAACTAGCGATTTATTTTTACTTATCATATGCCCCCATTACTAGCGTTATACGCTAAACAGTTTTTAGAGATAAAACTCTTTACATTCGATTATCATGAAAACAAATCTCAGAGAACGGTTGACTAGGTACCAATGTTTTATTAGACCAAAGGTTCATTTTGCGCCGGAGTTCTCCTTTAAGTGTGAACTGAATGTAATGTTTTTGGACACTTGATTTTATTTTGGACACTTAATTCATTTATTTACAATTAAATGAAAATGTAGTAGAAATATAGTTTAAATGTAGATTAAATGCAATTAGTTGAAGAGCAGGACTTAAAGAGATAGTTCACCCAAAAATGTCTATTTATATAGCTACATAGAAGTCATGAATTTACAGTACATGTATATGGTATATTAATGACAATATATATATATATATATATATATATATATATATATATATATATATATATATATATATATTATTCATATGTACTCTCTTTATGTATATTTAAGTGGCCTTTTATTTTATTACTATTATATTATCTGCCAGTACATTTTTTTTTTTTTTTTTGTACATTCAGTACATCTAAGCACACTTTTTTCAAAAGGGTAAAATAATTGTGTGGTAAACAGCAACACAGATTGGATTTGGTAGATCTAATGTTTCAGTTTTCGTACTGGGGCAAATTATGTTTCAATATTCATCTGTACGCTGACAGGTGCTGGAGATGATGAGGCTGTCTTCTCCATCCTTCTCTCCCAGTCTGGGATAACGCCACACACACTTTCTAGGTTACAATCAAGCTGCCGTTCACTCCATTATGATACCATCACGACATGGTCTCATATTGGCCAATCTAGCAGCCAGCAGGACAGATGCCCGGAGTTTAATTTTCTGTTTTGAGATATCGGCTGCATCTGTTGCTGTTGGTTAGTTTTCCATGTGCTGTTCCCTGGTTGATGAATCATGTCTGGCTGCTTCTGAGAGTCGCTGGGGAGCGCGGCCATGGAAAACAAACAACGGAACCGCCCGTATCTGTGTGTGCACATCAAACGCTTGATGAGCAAAGCAAGCAGCCCACCATGAAAACCTCTTCATCAGCTATATCAAAGACATCACTGCAGAGACGCACAACATGGCTTAACTATCCCCAAAACAGACAACTAACAAGCACAACGCACAAAACATAATTGTTATTGTGATAATTGGGGAGTAAATCTGTTTGTTTGTTAGATCAATCAAAGGATATGTTTACTCTTTTCCCTTTTTTTTTTTGTCAATCATATTGCCAGGGATAGTAAAAGTATGGCAAATGAAAAATTTAAACTAACTAAATATTATTATTAAATATGAAAAATGTTTTAAAAATGAACAATACAACATTAATACAACGAAAATAGTAGAAACTAAAAACTAATATATCACAACATGGTTTCAACACAAAGCACCATTTTACAAGTAGCAGATTACCCGCTTTACACAGATATAAAAGAGCCACCGTCATTTTCACACTTAAGACACTGTTTTGGGGCAAATGAAGTCCACATCTTTCCTGACTCCCATATCATAAAATGAACCAGAGTGGTAATGATCCATCTCAGTGCACAGGACTCTGGCTACTTACCACTCCTCACCACATCACATTATGTCGACACCACAATAATAGCATTTCTACTTCTTAAGTCCCTTAATCAATGGCCGACACAATTACTCCACGTTAATGTCAGGGACATTTCAATGCAGCATGGTACATGAATCCTCCTCGGAAGGCTATCATTAATTCTAACACTCTCTGGCTCTGATATTTTTATTGCTCTCCCACAGTGAAAGTCATCAATTTCAGCGTCAATCAAGACATTTATTAAATTCACAAGTGAGATGCCACTAAATTCCCTCAGATCAATGTCAGCACTTGCTACGGGGCGCGTAGACACGGACGTGACAAAGAGGAACTCGGTGCACTGTCCTGAGACGGATAGCATCATATAATTAGAAAGAATATTTCAAGAATTCTGATTGCTAATAATACAACGTGGTGAACTCATGGGCCGTTAACATGTTATGCTCGTGATGGAGTGCTTTCAGAAACCCTGGAGTGAAAGAAAACACTGACGCTCCGACTCCTTGCTTCAGGCAAAATCATTCCTCGCTCCGCAGAGCTCACATACTCGAAATATTTGCAAATATTGCAATAATGAAGAATATTTTCATGTACTGTCAGTGCTGTTTCACCACCCGATTCACTAAATTAACTGTGCAAATTCTGTGAAATCAATTTATCTGTAAAAAATTATGTGGTAAATGCAATTTGCACAATGCAGCATCCTAACTTGCAAGCTATGAAAGATGCAGCGGACTACAGCAAACTGGCATAGTGTATTGAGACTGTACAGCGTTACTCCACGACGGCAATCCAGACACATAAAACAAAGATTATTGGAGTGTTTTTGTACATAAAAATACTTTTCCAGTCTTTCTGCTTACAAATTTCATGTTTAATTCGATATGTTTCTTGCCATTTTTTTAATTATTTGAAAAATTCACCAGCAATTTCTGAGTGAATAATAAAACTATTTTTACAAAATAGTTGTTCGGAAACATACTAACAATGTTTACTAAAAGTTAACTTTGTGAAAATATGTATTTATTGCATGGAAGAAACAAAAAACCCCCACATAAAACATGATGCTATTACAACCTACTAAAGAAAAATAAATAAATAAAATGGCTAAATAAAAGATTTGCTCTGCCTGGTGGTTTTTTCTTTTACAGTTGCGCAGTCCCTTTTCTTCTCCTTACTCTGTCCCTCATCCGCTAGCTATCTTTTGTTTCCTCGAGCTGAATTGAGGGTGAATATTACTCCTACAGATATTGAACGTCAACATCCGATGCCACAGACCTCACCGGAATAAAGGAACAAAGAAATCTATCAGATAAAGAAAAATACAAAATGTCCATGGACAACTGCATGACTAGAAATAGTTACACACTGACTAAAGCTAGAGTTTATAGGTTCTGGAAAAACATACGTAAAGAGCAATCAAGCCTATACTAAATGAGGTAGACTACAACTCAAGCTCATGTTATCGGCCCAGTCTTTTAATTAAGATTCTAGCAGCAATATGTGCTAATGTTTATCCATGAAGAGAAAAATAGCATGCATGTACAACAGTGTAGGTGGAAATAACAAGGTACCATGGCAAGGTAACTTGACGTGCTGAAGTCAATACAGTCTGTAAATATTTGTGGCCTGATTTGTTACACTTGTGTATGACCTTGTGGCGAGCCGGACGAGGCCGAGAGCTGAGGTGTCGCTCATCATTAATCACGCCGCCGGCCTCGCGCCGTTTTCACACAGCCCTCGGCCTCGTCCTGCTCGCCTCAGACACTCTTTCAGTGTAAATCAGTAAGTTATGCCTTTTCTAATCATCTCACGGATGCTCAGGTGTGAAAAACAAAACGGCCAAAGTGTGTTCATTCTGCCAAGGCTCTCCTCTGGCCTGATGGGTAATCAAACGCAGGCATGTCTGATTCCAGCATCTGTCATTTCAAAAAAGGCTAGAAACAACTCGGTTTGCCCACCTACAACTGTATCATACATCCCTTCTATTCCTCAGTACATCTAGATTCACCGCTGTGCAATTCCCTTCACTATTGATTTTACTGCTCTTATTTTTTCACCCAGTTTTAAAACCCACACGGAAACACATGTTCTAACTAATCGTCTCGCTATAGGCCCTCCGCAAGGCCGAGGCTACATCTCACGGAAATAAATAACTTGTATTTCGACCTCTTTCTCATCTGTTTGGAGAGGACAGGAAACATTATTCTTTGATATTGGATCAGTGTGTGAGATAGACGCATCCCTGCTTTGATTTGAATGCCTGATGTGGCGCCCCGATCCTCGTCTTGGCTTAGACATACCGAACCGATGCCAGCCAGGATAGTGGATTTCGGTCTTGAGACGGCTCTAAAAATATTTGCAACTAAATGCCAGAGCGTTTCTGCAACACAGTGATGTGCCAGTCAGAAGATAAATGTGAATTATAGTTAGTTGTATTTGATCCTCATCACGGGGTGTATTATTATGAAGGACCTACAGCGCTGAATGATTTGGCTGTTGTGTTTGGCGTCTTACTTGTATTGGGTGACTGGCGGATTGGCTTTTGCTGAGCAATGAAACTTCACCAGGTTTCCCTCCAGGACTGGTTGAGGCTCCACAGAGAGATTCACCAACGGCAAGTCTGCAAGAAGACAAAAGTAATAACAGAAACTAATACGAAAACATGACTTTTTCCACAACAACGTTCAGTCATTTTAAAACAATAGGTGAAGATTTGCTTCAGCTTTTATCTGGTCACGTAGGAGCGTCAGAAGTAATTGTAAGAGTATTAACTGCGCATCATCAAAAGATGTGAAAATCAGGGAACAAAGCACTAACTAAAGCACCGTGTGTCGACTAATGAGAGGTATACCTTCTAATCTTTGCAAATGATGCAAAGTGGAAAAACAGTTTAATCACAAATCATTCAATAATTAGAGCTAAAACAAAAAAATAGCAGCGTAATGGCATTTAAACTGGGATTTTAATAACAAACACAGATTATGCAAGCAATAGCATAATACCTTTTTCATTTTCATTAACACTTTGTCTACTTTAAATGTTCTTTTTTTTTACCATACATAATATTAATGCACAAAAGTGAAGTACAACTGATCTCTTTATAAACTTTTTGAGGTCAAAGTGGTAGTAGTGGCTGTCAATGGAGGGACACAAATATCTCAGATTTCATCAAAATATTTTCATTTTTGTTTTAAATATGAATGCAAGTCGTATGGTTTCGGGATTATGGATTATGGGGGGGGGGGGGGGGGGGTTAGCGTATTAAAATTAAAAATATTACAAATACACTGTAAAAACTAAAAACACTTTTTATCTTCTGTCAAATCAACTTAGTTAATGAATGTGGTTCAGATAGCATAATATTTCCAGTTTCTATTTTTTAAACCAATCTCCTTTGTTGTATTTACTCATTTTTTTAATTTCACTGAACGCAAAATTTTAAGGCAACTAGGTAACTTACTTGTTTAAGTTAAACCAACAATATTTTTTACAGTGTACATACAGTAGATGTTCCTCATATGCCTTTAATGCCAAGCTGTATTTTGCACTGCACAACAAAAACAGATTTATGGTTCTCCAGGGATGCAAAAAAAAAAAATGTAAAAGAGACCTAATTGTTGTGCTTTTACCAAGACCGGACAGTGGCAAGCGCAGAAGCTAAGCAGCACACATCAGCGATTCAGCATCCACAGGGAGCACAATCGGGAGAGATAAAGATAGATGAGTAGAGAGAGAAAGAGAAACCGGATCGTCATACACTTGAGAGTCAGCTATTCCACATACATGTTTTCTGTTCTATTACACTAATTTAGTCTGCGCTGGCACGGCTGTATTACAACAGCACAGATCAGTGGACCGAAAGAGAACAGGACTGCCTCAGCTGGAGAGTAGTGTGAAGTGTGTGTGTCTCCTGAAGTACAGTATGTGGCCCACAGGAGCACAGCTGGGCAGAGTGGCATCCCGGCGGTTGGTGCAGGTGCTGCCCTTTTTCCCCATCTGCCTTTTTTCGACCACACACACCTGTGCCAGGTTGTTCACAGGCTGCACAACACTAACCGTCATTCGTGAGCCCGCGGGACACACACCGGCGCGAGCAGGACAAACTGATTAGTGCTGTGTGCTGCCCGGGTACCAGCAGGATACGTGTAAAGCGTTTACTCTGGCTAATTGGGCATGCAGGTATAGGTGGATATCAGAGGTAGGGGTGTTCAGGCTTGTTTCTGGGTTGATACAGACTATAAAACGGATAGTTCTCCCTCTAAATATTGACCACAGATTGCATATTCATTCACCAAGTTGACATAAATGGCCAATACAGACCATTAGCCCAACTGTAGGCTGAATAATATTGACCATAAGCCTACTGTATCATATTTGATAGGCTCATTTCTATGGCCTCTAAATGTACTGCATGCCTTCTGTCGTCTGATTGATACTTTATGCTGTTTTAGCAAGTAAAAGGCATTCAGATCATGGCACACATGTCTTTTTTGTTGTGAAATCAGATTTTTATAAAGTAAATTTAAGATTAACATCTATTTTAATATAAGTTATACAAGATTCAACTCATTTTTTAAAGTCAGTTTAATGCAATTTAAGTTGAAATGACTTAAACATCCAAGTTGATTGTACTTTAATTTAAGGCAGCAACTTTATTTTTTTTACTGTAAATCACAGTAAATCACACTTTTATCACACTAAATGCGTCTCTATAGCACGCAGTGTGTTTATCGTGCAATTTATACGCGAAAATGAGTTTTTATGTGCATGGGTTGGTTAGGGTAGGTTTAGTAGTGGTGTGGGGTGCGTGTGTATTATACGTTTGGGTAGAATTAGTGGTGTGGGGTGCGTGTGTATTACACGCAAATGAACTGCGTATCAAATGCACGCGATAACTGCGTATCATATGCACGTAAAAACTCATTTTCGCGTATAAATTGCACGATAAAACACAATGCGTGCTATAGAGATGCATTTACGTGAGAACAGGCTGGCTATAGTGTTATAAATATCTCATTGATTGATTTCAAGTGATAAGAATTTAATCTTACTTTTTGGTCATATAAATATCAGCAACTGCATCACTTTATTGTTTTGCCTAGTTTGGGCTTCTGGATAAAATTGAAGTGTGTTTTTCCTCCTCAATTATGAGCTATTCTCCTGTCAAGATAAAAAAAGCTTTTTTTTTTTTTGTTAAAAATCTGTTCTCAACACTATTGCAAAAGATTCAGGTCTTGTAAATTGATTGTTCTAAAAGCTTTAAAAAGTGCGTAGCAAGAGTATAAAAACATATAAATGCAATAAGTCACCAGATTCCTTGCATTACAGTGACTTTACCATGATTAAGGTGGTTTCAGGCACTCCTTACCTGTGATAAAATCACACTCCCGAATAGCCTTCAGTGGCGTATTGATTTATTTTCACAATTTTTGATATTAACATTCATTTTGCTCCTTAGCTGTTTTGAAGCATATCATGATTGCCTTTGATGTCAGTTCAAGTCTTTTGAGAGTAACCCTTGAGGGAGACGAAAGCCATCAAAAGTGTCCTCTACTTACGACAAAACTGAAGTGTGACATTAATTTTCTGTCTTAAATAATGAAATACGTATCTTTAGATGGACGTTTATCCCTGGAGGAATGACTAGCTCCTCTCCAAGGCCCCGGCTCGAGAGGCAGACTGGCAGAAGCTCACAAAGATCCTCGTGACCCGCAAATCTATCGACAGACAGTCTCTTAATAAAGTAGTCTGTTTGTCACTTTGATGTATAAATGCATGAGTCTCTCTGGCCTGAGACACACGCGGCAGGCCATCAATATGCAGCTCCGATAATTCCTCCGCTTCATCAACAGGGAGAGCACGAAGGCAACAATGACAGCCCGCAAAACAATGGGATTGGAGGAGAGGAGGAGTGATCTAAAAAAAAAAAATTATATAAAATAAAATGGTGGGGGGGACAGTGGTGAGATGACAGCTTTTGATCGGAAGTTCAAAGCAAAGAGCAGATGGTGGTTTTGAACAATCGGCCAACTTCCCCAGAGTTGGGAGGAAGGTGCCAAAGAAAATGGCTTCTGTCTTTCTTAAAGCTTGATTTCCATTCTCCCTGGGTCACTGTGGCCAGCTGTTCTCAGAGAGGGCCGATAGCCTTGTATCAGCAGGAGGAGGGCGATTTAATCTCTTTATAACTCAACTGAATCTGTGCCACAGTGTGGGTTTCACTGACACTGAGATCTCACAGCAACTTTTGTTCTCTCTCCAAACACAGTTCATGCATCTATATTGGAGACCGAGGGTAGTACTTTCAAAGGCTCTTTGCGGTGAGTCACTGTTGTATATAAAGTAATCAATGCATTTTAGTACCAGTACACTGTCGCTTACCTCGCTTCTCACTTAAGAAGACACCGATGTAATGCTCTTGATCGAGAGTTTTTTGCAATGAATGTAAACATTGTGCAGTTTTTGCTCTGTGGAGTTATCTGTCAAGCTCTCTACATGAATAATGTATTGCTAAAGCATATATTACTGCACAGAAAATGTGTTATTTTTTCGCTAATCTAATTAGAGCCCATCTGTGCATCTAATCATGACGTTAAAATCATAATATCAAGTTGAAAACCTTAGAATGCCGTGAAGAGGTTATGTTGTACATTCCCCCCCTCCAGAAAATACTGTAAATGCAACAAAAAAACTACAATATTTTTCCCAGAATATTTTTCGTACATTTAGGCTTCTTCGCATTTCAAATGAGACACATGGATTTGCGTTGCGGGATCAGCGGGTTTTGCTGTCAAATGATGTGACCCTAAGGCCAATGCCATATGAAGTTTGGGTTTTCCTTCAGCTTTAGGCTCTAAAAGAAATTCGATTTTTTAGTAAATTTCATATTTAGATGCTAATTCGCTTAACCTCGGGTCAAATTATCCTAGCAGGGCTTATGTTTAGCTAAATTTCTGAAGTAAATCTAATTCCTGCATTTAAATGATTACAGGAAAATAAAGTCAGGGAAATGCATTGAACTGTGGTGAAGTAATGCAGTGGATGATGTTCGGACTCGTCTCATTCAGGCCTCATTTTGACTGAAAGCGAGCGGCTGTCACAGAGGCCTGCGCTGATCAGAATGAGAATTATCTGAGCAGAGGAAAAATCCAGAAAGCCTTTAATTACTTTTGTTGCTGATGACATTATCACATCGAACCAAGTGGTCAATAAGTGGACTGAATGAGGGCTGACAAAAGCGAGAGTGGGCATATTAGAGGATGGCCGTGATGAAACGCACACACGGGTCCTTCACGGGTTTGATTTTTTTCTTCTTTTTTCATCCAGTGGAGTTGTCAGTCCCGAGCTGACATCAGAGAACTAGGGGCGACAAAAGCCGATGTTGTCTCCTCGCGTCGGCAGCGTCTGAGCCGAAAAGCTGCGCTTGAACACCACAAAGACTACAGGGGCCGGATGTACCAGCAGTGCATAAGTTACACGCTAGCCTAGTTTTGACGAAAATGGGCACTACCTTTCAACTTACGCACTATAAATATATATTTTTTTGTTGCACCATTAAACTTAGTTGAACTTTAACTCAACGTAGTATACTAAAACTAAATATTTATAGAAGCCTCCAATCAG